ATACGCGCTTTCCGAAAATCCGAACGCAGTCACTGCTCTTCCTTCTTACAGCGCGTTTTATATGTAGGACAAAGATAGCCTGAAGTCTCCCACTTTCACTCATTGATTTGTTACCGTACTCTTATGTTGATAGTAGGCGCGCGTACATAATTGAAAACGCTGCAAATACCAATTTAGACACAGAAAATTTCATAGAACAAAAATTGTAGACAATTAAATTTACTATAAAAAAGTCCGTGACGGTATATATCTATCTTTAATCGTTTAGCCTTACCAACCATTTAAAGTTGTACCTAGTGTCCTCGTTGGTTTCAATAATATCTTTGAACGCTTATCATATATTAATGGTTAAAGATACATATATGCTGTCACGGACTTTTTTGTAGGAAATTAAATTCTCTACAATTTATGTTTTATGAGTTTTTCTGTACGAAGTTTCGTTTTCACGGCGTTTGAAAGTAAATGTGGGTACCTTTCGTTTTGTGACTGAATCTTAAATTCAAAGGTGAGAAATTTTATGGTACGATTCAATGTTTTCTTACCACTATTTTATTTCTCTATTCGATAGGGTTTTGTGTGCTATTTAAGTTTTATAAGGAGTCTCCTGTGCCTAAACCCCCTAATTTTTAGGTTATTCAATATTTTTCACAAAACAATAATGAATTACATGTTTAATGTTTATAAACAGGATCGAGTAAGCCGTGATAATAGAAATAGAAACCAATAGAATTCCAGTAAGCAAGTGTCACAAGTAAATTATCTGCTCCAATTAATGTGCTCCCTAGTAGTAAAATAAGATTAATTAAAAAGGCGAATTTCGAACTAGTCTTTTTAAAAAATCTTATTTTACTAGGAAATAATGAGTACACTTGCAGCAAACAATTAATTTATGGCACTTGTTTATTATTTGGCATTCTTTGGTTTTTTATTATCACGGTTTACTCCTGTTTATAAACATGTAATTCATTAATGTGTAACTGTTTAGTGAAAAATATTGAATAACTTAAAAACTACGGGGTTTAGCACAGGATATCTCTTCTAAGAATTGAAGAGCGCACCAACAGACCATCGAATAGAGAAACAAAATAGTGGTAGTTCCATTTGAATAAAAATAGTTATAGCACTTTGAAATCTAGAAATTTTACAATTTTTTTGTGTTGCTTTTTATTCGAATTAAAATTATTGATTTCTATTTCTTAACTTTAAAATCAAGGTCGCTACGATTTATCAAAGTGGGGTTGGTTTATAGAGAATTATTCGAAAAAAAATTAATAAATTGGCCTGCAGAGGTTAAAAAATGACATCGAATTAGCTAAAAATAAACATACTGTTCCATTTAAAAAAATCAGCTGTGTATTGACACCGTAAACATGAGACACTCTGTACATTCAAAAATAATTCCTGTATATGCATAACATTCTATAGTTGACATTTGCACAAAAGATTTTTTGCTATTTTTTACCAGGTATGAACTAGAAAAGACCGACGCAGTGTTATAGGACCCTGTATAATTTTTATAAAACGTAAAAAAAGAAAGAAAGAATGGGAAAATTTCGTCTTTTTTGCATTTGACTTCAATTATCTCGTTATCTATTGCTCTGAGAGAAAATGAAGAGAAATAAATTTGATTAGAATCGAATTTTCTAGATACAGTTGGTATGGAACATTCATTTTCAAAAGTTATTGCTTTTTTATGGAAAGATATAAAAAAAGTAATCCCGAAAATTAACAATCTGTTACTAATCAAAATTCATCCTATCTTTTATATTATCCGTAGCTTGATAACGGAACAATACGGCAACCGATCACACGATCACCGTAGATATCATAGTCATTGATTAATTAAAAATACAAATTAAAAAATCCATGCTTTGTCTTTCAAGGTGGGTGACTCCCAGATTCTCCCCCAATTATTTCCGCTAGTGGGACCCTAAGCAAACCGTTTCCAACAATTGTCCCGATGATTCTTGCAAATCGACGGACTGTCAAATTTTTTTTTGGAAAATCCGAAGACTTGCTAGTTAACAAATGGAATAATTTCCGAAATATAACAAGAAATCTCCATAATAGGCGAACAGAAACCTCTCGGAAAATGTACCTAATATTAAAAAAAAATACGTCGAAATCCGTCCGTCAATTTGCAGAAATCATCGAGACAACATTAGGAAAAGGTTGCTTTGGGGTTCCACCATCTGTACAAAAATTTAGAACGTTATGAGACTTATCCAATTTGTTTGTTTATTTAATCAATGACTATAATACCTACCTACGGTGATCGGGTTTGTCGTATTGTTTTGTTATCAAAAGAAGGGACCAAATATGAATGATGAATTTTACTCAGTGATAACAGATTGTTAATTTTCGGAAATGCGTTTTTTTTATATTTCTCCATAAAAACAATAACAATTAAGAATGAACGTTCCACACTAAATGTATGGTCTCCATAGACAATTCGATTCTAAACAAATTTACTTGAATACCTCACCGGAAAAAAAAATGGAAAAGTTCATAAAAAATATCACTTCTCTTCATTTTTTCACTCGGGGCGATAGTTAACGTCAGTCAAATGCGAAAAAAAACATTTTCCCATTTTTTTTCTTCATTTTTTCTGTATAACAATATATTTCGGGAGTTTCCGGCCAGGGGATTATGATTTTCAGATTCAGCGGATTTTTTTACATAGAGTACATTTGGTTTTGTTGAGTGAAATGACATCCAGCCCAAACCGTACTTTTGATGAATTACAGGGCTTTGCTTCACGCCCTTCTGATAGCGTATTATTAGTATGGGTAAAAATATCTGTGTAAAAAATATAGCAAACGAGCTCTTGGGTATGGCTATAGTATGTGCAAAACCAAATTGAACCTGGTGTTAGATTTGCCCTAAGACAGTTTGAAAGATCGTGTGACAATATCCAAGGACTGGAAAAAATTTTTCACAGCATTTTTTCTTTTTTTTTCTTTTGTTTTTTTTACCAACTTAACATATATTCTTTATATTCTTTATGTTTTCGAATAGTTTTTTTTATTAACAATACATGAACATTGTTATTGGGGTAACCTGTTATGTTCATAAATAAATAAGTTGGCACTGCGCATGCGCAAAACCAAATTTTGAAAATGGCGTTACATTTGCTTTTATTCCAAGTGCATACGTAGGTATCAAATGTAATTTAAATACATTTCTAAATTTAAAAAAGTTTGCAATTCGGTTCATATATGGCCGAGATACCAAAAGAGCACTATGCATTTTGAATCCATTAGGCTCAACTTTTGCCATTGCGTATTATATTGCTAAAGCTATGCCCATATTGAATTTCATGCAATTCACTTCATAACTCACGTAGATGTCAAAAGGGCCTTCCTTATTATACTGGCAAGGAGCTCGATAATATGTGAATTGCACTAATAATAAAAATAAAAATAAGAACATCGTTTTTTTCATTTCCCATGCGCTTTGAGCAGAATGGCAAAAAAATAACGACAGTTTCAATTTTTACAACGCTTCGATCATCCCAACCGGAACCCCCAAAAGCACCTGAAATATAACAACATGTAGGTCAAGGGTTCGAGTCGTACCTACGCCAGATTCTTTTTTAACTAAAAAGTTTATTAAAAGTTCAAAATTAAGATGTGCGTACATTTTTTTACAAACGCTGAGAAAACAAAAAGAGATACAAAAAAAGTTATAAAAGATAAATTGTAGAGAATTTAATTTCCTACAAAAAAGTCCCCGATGGCATATATGTATCTTCAACCCTTAATATATGATAAGCAATCAAAGATACTATGAATGCCAACGCAATCAAGATGTGCAACTTTAAATGGTTGATATGGCTAAACGATTAAAGATAGATATATGCCGTCGCGGACTTTTTTATAGTAAATTTAATTGTCTACAATTTTTGTTCTATGAAATTTTTTGTATTCCAATTGGTATCGGCAGCGTTTTCATTTAAAGTGCGCGCGACTAGTATACGTACCAACAAAAGATTACAGTATTGAAATCTTCAGTGCAAACGCAATTCGGAGCATAATTATTCGCTCTAAAACCGATTATATTATTATAAAAGTGGGAGAGGTACACCTTACCTCTCCTGCGATTGTCACGGATCCACAAGTTCCCATTAGGCTAGACTTCTTCCTAATTTTATATTCAAAGACTTTAGGAAGTTGGTAAATGTTCCCCAGGTAGCCATCTTGAATTTTTTTTGACATCAATTCTAAATTAGGCGTGTCAAAGACAGTAACTTTTATATAAAACTTTTTTTATATCTCTTACACTTTCGATGATACCAATTTTAGTTTTTTTGAATTTACGTCGAACCTATTCGACAAATAAGCTAAGCGTTCTAAAAAACCGCTCGAGTGTCGCTCTAATTGTCTCAAAAATGCTCGCGAGCATCGAGCTGATTTGCAAAGAGAAACCGCTTGCGAGTTCCGAGCACTCCTAAAAGTGCTGGAGTGGCTTATCGCGAGCGCTAGGGAAAAGTCCTCGTGAGCAGAAAAAACGCTCACGAGCAGAAAGGCGCTTGGGAGCGGAAAAACCACTCGCGGTCGGCGCTTATTCATTAAGCGCTTGAGGGCAGTTAAAAGCTCAGGAGCGAAAAAAAACGCTCATGAGCGGAAAAACCGCTCGCAGGTAGAAAAAAGAGGTCGAGCGCCGAGCACTTTAAGTAAACGCTCGCGTATCGAGTACCAGGCGGCCGCTCCGAAAAGTGCTTTTTCCGCTTGGAGCGCTTTTTCTAGCGAAACGCTCGCGAGCACGAGCAGTACCCAGCTCTATGCTATATCTTACTCTTACTCTATTCCCCTAAAAGTATCATTACAAAACAGAATGAGTAGGACAAAATGTACGCATTTTTTCCCACGTTTTTTTTTCTTATTGTTTGAAAAATAATGTGTTAAAGAAAATCTAACACACTAACAACAGAAAATAGTCTCAAACCATAATGGACGGGGTCGCAAAATGGATCTACAACTTAACCGCCGAAAACTTACCATCGCCACACACCACAACAAATCGGCCATTGGGATTGTGCTGAATCGTTTGCGGGTAAATTTCGCAAGCACCCATGTCTTTGACTGCAACTGGTAAACGCTCCCCATCCCGTATTTCGACTCCCTCATTCAACGCCTTCAGGTTGGCTTGCTGCAACTCCGAGTGACGCGCCCAAATTATCTTCCCACCGCTTGAGTCCATGCTGACGGCCGGCTCCTCGCGTCCGACCTTGACCAAGATGCTACCCTCATCGTAACCGATCGACACATTGTTCGAACCTCTCAGACAGCAGATGGTCCAAACCCTCTCGAAGCCGTAATTAAGACTGCTTTCAAGACGGTGCGTGTTCGCGTGCCAGATGCGTACAGTACCGTCCTCGCTACCGGTGAGTACAACCGGCAATTCGGGGTGAAAACTGACGGCGCTAATATTTTGAGCGTGACCTTCCAAAGTTTGGACGCAGGTCTTGTTTTGGTAATCCCAAATCTTGACGAGCCGATCGTCGGCTCCAGAAATGATGTAGGGCTTGTCACCGCCGTGATAATAGTCTACGCAATTTACGCCCTTTTCATGCCCCTCCAGTGTGAAGTTTGCCGTAGCGGCCCCCAACTGCCATACTTTTAGCGTTCGATCCAAGGATGCGCTGGCAAATGTGTTATTATCTTTCGGATTTATTGCTATTTGCATGACGTAGTGACAGTGACCTTCGAACACCTGCTGGCACGCCCATGACTTCTCCCAATTCCAAAGTTTTATCAGCATGTCATCTATTGAATACATTTTTTATTAGATACATGTTACAGTACGGAACAAAGTCATGGTGTAGAAATATTGATTGGACCACAGAAAATAAAAACTAAATGATTGCTCCAGACATTCCCGTACTACATAGAGGTATGGAAAAAGATTATTACACATTGGACTTTTAATAAGCCAGAAAGAAACTAAATAACCATTATATGAGTGTGAAGTGAGATAGAATACTAACAAACTAAAAGCGCTGATGCCATTCGTGCGTCTTTTGAGTAGGTCAGTATCAACTATCAATGACCCATGTAATTACTACCGTCAATGTCAACATTGGTAAAGTTTTGTCTCTCTTGCACTCATATCATGCTTTTGGAGTTTCTTTCTAGCTTATTAAAAGTCAAACCTGCAATAATCTTTTCTCATATCTGTATTATGCGATGCCTCAAAGAGACTGTTAAGAATCTCATTATAAACGGTAAAGGATAAGCATCTTTGATGTGATTACTGTGAATTCCGCGAATTCAGTGCAAAAAACAGTTGAGAATTGTGTAGGTACTTCTACAGTGCTATTCATTTATACGTAGACATAGGGATTTCCTATGTCTAGTTTGAAATGAAGTTACAAGCATGTAAACTCGATCTAACCTTT